GATGGATGGATGGATGGATGGATGGATGGATGGATGGATGGATGGATGGATGGATGGATGGATGGATGGATGGATGGATGGATGGATGGTATTTTCAAGATTTGACCAAAACACCAACTTATTGTAACGTACAACAATACTTAAAATGACCCATTCAGATAATTAAAATTAATCTTTTATTACAATTTATATAGCTCTGTTTTCAAAATGACTTGTAAGTTTAAAAAATGCCTGATTTCCCAGAACTTCTTTTGCAAGAATTGGCATTTCGTGCCATTACACACAGGCCCAAACAACTCAACCAACTTACATTATAACTGAGAGTCTGTAAGCAAACAGGCTTGAATAATTAACACAGGAATCGTGGTAATGAATAAATAATTGGTTGACTGTAAGAGGATGCCAAGTGATACTTCCTGGCAGCTGCCACTCTTGTGTCTAAGATAATGAGGTGACAGAGGAGGGCACATAACATAACACTACTTAAATATTCTAGGTGGTTCAACCCATGGGAGTTGTTGTTTTGCACCATGTTAAATGGTGAATAAACAACACACCCTACAACCAGGCCCCTGCAGCCATATAGGTGAACTCAACTTCTGCCTCAGCTCCTTCCGCCATGTTGCGTGTCAGTCAGCAGGCCGGTAATAGATGTGTTTATCAATCCAGTGGTGAAGGCAGGAGGAATAACGAGGGGAGCAGATGTTTGCAGCTGCAGACCAGATTACGGGGTGGAGTGGATTGGTTGCAGGGGGGAAGCGGGCCGAGTTTGGAGCTCGGAGAGGGGTTACAGTGGGGTTACAGCGGGCCCGTGTGGTGGCAGCGGAGGCAGGTTGGGTAGTTATGACTTAAAGAAGCCTTTCCCTCTGAAGTGGCTGCCAGCGCGCACCCCAGCAAACACAATCACAAGTCTCGTTGGTTCTGCTAGCTGAACTAATGAGGGGCTGCACGTTGAGGGCCGGGGCTTTGATGTTCTGGGTAGCTGCCTCCTTGTGTTTTCTCTCCCGCTCGCCTTYGCTGCCTGTCCCACATCAAAAAAATGGAAGGAGGGGGGAGTTGAGAAGCAGATGTTTTGAGGCATGTATTTATACAGAGCAGAGTTTATTCACCCCTTCTCCGAACCCTGTTTGTCCACTGCCTCTGCATCACTGGATGAGGAGCGAAGACATGCATCCCCCTTCCTACTCCCTCCATCGTTTTTTATCCAACTAAACACTCTAAATCGCCCTAACTTTATACATGTAATCATCTTGTCAGTCAAAGTGGGCAACTTTTATCTCTCCTGACTTCCTCTCTCTCTCTCTCTCTCTCTCTCTCTCTCTCTCTCTGCTTGTCTCTCTTTAATTTCAGCCCAATCTGGATGTCATTACTCAAGGAGGGGGGGCAAGTCTATGTGTTGCTATGCATGTGTCTCTGCAACGATGAGGGGGAGAATGGGAGTGAAAAAAAAAAGGAAAGAAAGGGAGCGAAAGCAATCCCAGGCCATCCACAACCTCTGTCTCACACATGGTAGAAACAGTGACAGGAAATTCCCTTTATGCTGCAGCCTTCAGGGTTGAAATGATAGAGGAGTGAAGAAATGCAAACCAGAAATCCGTGTCCTTATCATTCCATACCACTCCTTGTTCTCTTCTTCTACCTTCGCTGAATTCCACCCCTCCAAGAAATAAAGACAAAACACGCCACTCGGCCGCTTGTGCTGTCATTCCTCTGGAGTCGAGGGATATTTTCCAAAGTCCATAGAAACAAAACTTAATTGGCATTAAATCCTATGTGGCAGAAAAGCTTTTCTCAGCAGGCTGTGCACAGAGACAGTTTGGATTATCTAAGATATCTAGGAATGCTGTTATCATAAATCAAGTCATGTGGTGACATTAGCATTTTGCTACATCTACAGTTTGTGTCTGCACAGCAGTGTGCATGTTTTTGATTATGCATTAGTGTTTTGGCACACACGTGTCTTTGTGCGTTAACGTGCACGTATTTATGTTTCTTTTTTTYTTTTTTGGTAGTCTGTCCCCTCGGCAACAGTCACATGTGGTTCAACAAGTCACATCCTTGGCTATGAACTCTGGACAGATGATCGCTTCAGATCCTCGCACAGCAAAGACTGGTATAAGCACCAGAGCTCTCTGCTGTCTCAACGCGGCGCTCCAGCAATAATAAAAGTCATACTTTAGAGAAACAATATCCTGCGGTCGTAAAATGTCCTCCTCTCCGCATGAAGTGACTATTAAAAAAAAAAGCTTCTCACCTTCTAAATCTGCAGTGTATCAAGATTTTACCCTTTTAAACCCGCATTAGACTGAAACATACACTTAAACCTACACACAATGACAGCATCATGTCAAGACTAGGGCAGGGCCATCGTTCGTTTTGACAAGTGCCCAAAAACAATCTAAGTTATGGAGAAAACCAAGAGAAATTCCATAGGAAAGTGACACAGATCACATTAAAGCCATATGGATAGAAATGGATAAAGACAGTATGATCATCAGCAACGTTTCCTAATAATATTAACATAAAAGTAGTTGAAATTGGTTATTTTGTAAAGAATTGGGGGGGTTGAATTTACTGCATCAGCTTTCACATGCTGAGTTTTGATGGGCTGAGAAAAGTCGCGCGCTGTTTTGTTAGTGAGAAAGTGTTCTGTTTATTGAAAAAATAGATATTGTCTCATTTTATGAAGAAAAACGCTTTTCTAGAAAGATTTTGAGACAAGTGCTGAAATAGGTACCTGTGAAGCACAGGTGCAAAATATACAGATCAAGTGAGATAGTTGATGATTATTAAACAAGTTCTTATAGAAATCTTTAAAAAAATTCTCAATCTTCCATTCACTAAAATCAACAAGACTCTTGATACAATATTCATATTAATAATAATACATTTACAAATATACACATGCACCATAAAAGACACAGCTACTGTTCAGCAAGAAGAATTTAGATGCTGAAAGATTACTGCTCCTCTTGTTGTGCAGAAGAGATGAGGCATGGGCCCTTTTCATGTCTGAAAGGGTACCGTCTAAACAGACAAACGACATGAGTCACCTCTTCAATCTCTGGCTTGGCATTATGAGAATCACAGCGGCTACAAGGAGAAAATAGATCCCAGATGATGGAACCAGGGAAAAAAAAGAAGGGGTGAGTAAACAGATTTTCTGGAAGAGTTACACAAGGGCCAAAACAAAAGCTGGATCTACTTGCACACATTGACCCACTCTGTGAGACGGCACTCCTCGCAGAGCACGTAGCAGCACCAGTGAAATCGACAGTTGCAGCGCTCGCTGCGCGTCTGCTTCAGGATGTTGTGCCCACGGCCGCAGCACAGCGAGCCGCAGCTGTCCGTGCTGTGGCTGGTTTTGTTGCAGGTACGCCCCAGCGTGCCCGGAGAGTCCGCGGCCGCGTCGGGCTCGCAGAAGTCGGGAGACTTCTCGAAATACACCAGTTCTCTGTTCAGGTTCCACCGGCGGCCGCCGTGGAGCCTCGCGGCGCTTCTGCCGGCTCCGTTTTCTGTCCGTGGGTTGAAAACGCCGTTGTTCTTGTTCTGGGAGTTGACGAAGACGGCTGAGGAGAACTTCGCCCTCAGCAAGGACCCAACGAGCCGGAACTCCGGGGACACGTACCAGCAGGTCTTGAACTGACAGCTCCCTGACGTGCCGTGACATTTGCACTTCCTTGTCATGTTGTCAGTCACTATCTGTGAAGGAAAGAGGAATACTGTGAGGGACATCGTGACGACACAGGTGAGGCTGCTCTGTGAGGCGCGTCACTCACCTGTCGTCCCACGCGGTTGTTGTGGATCCTCATGCGAGCGTGGATGTCCCTGGGAGACCCCCGGGAATCGAGCCAGTCTCTTGAAAAACGCTCCCCGAAGCGCAGGTCGTGGCTGCAGCCCCCCCACATCCAGGTGTCCTGCATGGAGCTTAACTCGTCAGAGAGAGGCTTGAGCAGGGCCGAGGTGTGGGCGGCCTGCAGACTGGTGGGCAGCCTGCCATGGTGACCGCTTAGCTCCGAGGGCAACGACTTGGCCATGTTGATGCCCACCCCGCCCTTCTGCAGAGCCTGCAGCTGCAGCTGCGTCAGCTTCAGCCGGATCTTGTCATCGTCCTGGCGACGCTTGGCCTCGCAGCTGCACCCCCGCAGCTTGCCCATGCTGCAAGCCGAGGCCACAGAGTGAGCCACACCCGCTGCCAGCAGGGCCAGGGAGAAGGCGCTCTCTCTGAAACCTGTGGGGGGGGGCACGACAAGTACACTCAGAAAGGGCAACACGACAATCTGTGGAGCCCTAAAARTAATTCAGAACGTTCTCGTTTCACAAACTCTCGCTGACTGTGAAAAAGGGATTCTCACCCCTGTTGAGGATGGTGCTGTGGTGGGGCGGCTTGCCGAAGCCCTCCAGTGTGGAACAGTTCCAGCGATGGTCCCGGAGCTGGTGCTGGCATTCGTGGATGGCCACCTGGATGCCCTGCAGGGCGGACGCCGTCACGTCGGGGTTCCGCACACACATTCGCATCTGGCGTTTGCTGAGGCCCACCAGCCTCAGGCACACAGAGTGGGGGGTTAGAACTGGGTCTCCTGCCACCTTCAGGCTGAGGATATCATTACACAGCACCCTGCAGGGAAGGAGAAGGATGGGGGGCATCAGAGGAGGTCAGGACTACACAAATGAATGTAGCAGGGGGTGAAGTGAATAATTTGATAAAGCAAAAATACATTACACAATGCACACCTTTTTAATTAGTGTGTTATTAAATAAAACTTCTAAACATACTGGCTACTTAAAATGGAAATTAGGTAAGAATGACAAAGAATTAAAGAACTTTTAAAAATAAACTTCAAAATTACTTAGTTTAACTGACTTATTAAAGACTAAAACAAAACGTCTTATTGTTTTAATRTTGAGCTCATTCAGCTTTTTAAATCACAGACAGATATCTCTTCTAAATAAATCGGATAAAGCTTCATTTCAATGACACAACTTCCCATTTGTTTCACACGAATAACGTAACATCAGCTGCCTCTTGGCGCTCCCAAAGTGCAACTTACGTTATCACAGGTGACATAAGAGCTGCGGCCAAAGTCAGGAATTGATCCCAGCGGAGTTTGTTTGATGGCACCATTTTGTTAAGAGTCTTTCGCGACGTGACATTAAAACACTGGTGATGAGGTCCCGTGACTGAAAAAAAATATTAAAATAAGAGACAGAGAGAATGGTAAAAAAAAGGAGAGAGAGAGAGAGAGAGAGAGAAAGAGCAACAGAGCGGAGTATTATCGACGCATCGCCAAACGAGTGAGGAATAAAGACGGAGAACAGAACAGCTCGGGGGCGACGGGGGACTGGAGGTGGTGGGAGGTAGTGGTCGGGGGGAGAGGCAGAGGGGAGGGGAGTTAAGATGCCTCCACAGGAGCAACAAATATTGGCAATTATGAAACTTGGATCACCAGCTGATTGTCGTGCCATTGAGGAACGCGCAATCGTTTGCTCGTTCGGGCTGAGCGTAAAAGCGACGTCTCCAAACTTTTACGCACGGGAACTCCTCGAGCGCAGGAAGGCGCATCAAGTTCAGTCAAATCACGGATGTCGTGTCGCATTAAAGACATGAATATGTATCCATAATTTCCATGTATAAGGAGGAATAGACCCCCTATACCCTCGAGAAGCCAAACAAAGAAAATGATAAATGGAAAGCCGAGGACGATTTGATTCATAAAGCAGCGAGTTATTTTGAACACTGGATGGGGGAGGGGAGAGCTGCTGCTCCCACTGTACGACAGGGAGGCAGCAGAAGGCAAGCGGCTCAGCTCACACACCCCACAACAATACTGTTCTTTTTTAGCCCCCCCCCCTCTCCGCGCGCCTTGCACACACACCTCCTCCTTCCACCTCCATCAGAGCTGTTGTTCTTCATTGTTGCGTTTGAAACTTCACTTTGTCAAAGTAAAACTCTTTATTTCCAATAAACGGACAGATTATTGCGCCAACTTGCTTCTGGAAAATAATAGACTTAGTCTTTATTATTATTATTATAATAAAAAGTTTCTCAAACTATAAGCTTGACTCTTCTGTGTCTTATCATCATAATGTTTTTTTTCTTTAAACATAATAAAGCGCAAACACGCTGCTGGTGCTGAATGCGCGCTGCTTTCATAAAATTAAGTTAAAACCCCCCTTATAGAACACGGTTCGCTTAGTGACACCAATTCATCTAATCTCCTTCCACTCCCTAAGCTGCAGCAATGAAAAGTGCATTAGCATTCTGCCTTGGTGTGTATATCTAAGTGGCTTAAAAAGTGATTTGAAGTTGATTTGTATATAAAAGGCTCCCTTTATCCGGATTGAGGCTCTAATCTGCTCGGTGTCGCATGACTGCTCCAGGAAACCCCTTTGAGCACCTTCATATATGGCTGTCATTAAAGATTTTTTCTGGGGAGGGGATAGAAAAGCTCACTTCCTTTTACTGTCATCAGAGTTAACGAGATGGAGAGAGAGGAGGAGAATGAAGAAAGACAATTCAACCTGCAGTGGATGCAGAAACAACGTGGAAACATACAAATCAGCAGATACATGCCATGTAATGAAACAGCCATCCAAACACGGAGGAGCACTTCGGGGGGACATTTTAGTCTTCCTCCGAGTCTGGGCTTTTTGAAAGAGACGCCGCAAAGTGGCTCAAGCTGTGATTACGCAGCGCTGCTCGGCATCGAGGGAGGTCTGCAAACCAGATGTTCCAGGGGTTGCCTTTTTATCCTCTCGCTCTTTGCCTGCTTCATCATGCATCAAACTTCTGATTGGAGGCCATAATTCACGTCTCTCGCATTTGAAAAAAAAAACTGAATCCCAGCAGGCAGCATGAGTAATAGACTTGTGTTTCTATTTGCGCGCCTGAGAGTCTTGGACTTTAAAGACAGGTGATGATGGTTTTACTGCCTCCGCAAAATGACACTTAAAGTAGAATTATTGGCAATTACACAATAATGTAACTTGTGAAGCATCCTGCTGTGTGAGGAAAAAAAATGAAAAGGAGCCTTATAAGTCAGTGCGCATTTGGAGAGAGGAGGAGATGCGGTTATAGGGAGTAGGCCACTCCAAGAAGGGACTGGGCAGCTTCAGATGCCTCATATTCTGCTGTGACTGTACTGCTGGGTGAAGCAGCGCAGCGGGCGCACCCCTCAACATCTGTCCTGACACATCACCGCTTCAGGGGGTGGAATACATCTCCTCCGTTGCAAGACTGGATGCGGAATCGAGTGCGTGGGGCAGTGGGAAAAATCCTCCGAGACGCACACTTTTTTTTTTCTTTCTTTTCCAGGTGACCGGTTCTGTGACGACCGTGAGATTCCACAAGCAATATGCGCAAAACTTTGGATTGCCCAGTCTCCCCCCCTCCTCCTCCCACTCTCTTCCTTCCTCTTTTCTTTTCTTGTGTTTCCTTATTCATTGTGCGCCGTATGAAGAGCATTAACTATCCCTCCTTCCAATCCTATTGAAAAGGCTGAAGGGGAAAAAAACAGGGAGATGAGAGCAGCAAATCCCTTTTTTATTCCCCTCGTAGCGCTCAATAACAGAAGAATGTGTCGCCTATCAGTCACCGAGGGGATCAAGTCTGCGGGACTGTCCCACGCGTTCAGTGCGCCTCGCGAAATGAGAGAGACAGAGTGAAGAGGACAGCAGCAGCAGCAGCAGCAGCATCCTGCCTGCACACTTCACATCCTTCAGCAACCTGTCTCCTCTCCAGATCCATTTAAGTCAATTAGGGCTGCAGCATCCCTCAGCTCCTCTCAGCGGACCGCGTGGAGAGGTGAGCGCACGACTTGGAGAAGATTTGGATGCTTTTACTYCTCATATAGGTTAACAGTTTTTGGCCAGTTGCACAGATGCAAACAAAGATTGTAATTAAGATTTGAAATGTGCCATTATTTTTTTTTTTTGTTGCTTTGTAGCCAGGATGAGGAGCGTGGCGCTGCTGTTGGGAGTGAAAGCCGCCTGCATCCTCCTGGTGTCTTCGCTCTCGCGCGCAGGAGCCGTGAACAACAGCGGCCGGTGGTGGTGAGTTCAGCAGACATTAATGATGCGCTGATTCAGCATCCATTAAAAAAACTCCTCTGCTTTTACAGACTGGACACAGTTTTATATTGTGTGCGGAGAACAAAAAAAAAAGAGTTTATTTTGGAACTTGATGCTCAGCATGAAAAAGAAAAGAAACAACCGCGTCATAATTTATGGTATTTCTGTGTGGTATTTCCAAATTGCTTTACTTAAACTATATATATTTTTTCACACATTTATTTTATTTAAAATCAATGCAAGTAGCGAATATTCCTCAATTACTTTACAGGGTTAATTTATTTTGCCTTTTTTTTACTCAAACACTGCGGTTTTAACGTTTTTCTTCTCAGTACAATGTGGGTTAAATTTAATTTGGATTTATTTCATTGCTGAAAGTAATCCTACTCCGCTCCCTTACACTAAACTAGCACACTATAGGGTATATGTAAAAAAAAAAAGGCAGGAATAAAATCGGATCTGCATATTGTCTCGGTTTTGTGGAATAGCCTATTCCTGCGGTGTAATTTAGTTGAGTATTCTAGTATTTGAAATGTCAGCAGGAATCCAAGAAAACAACTCGGATTTGGGTTGGAAAGAAGAAAAAAAAACACCAGGGGAAGAAAAAAAAAACGCAGGAGATTAATATTATTATTTATGTTCTCAGGCCTCACCGCTCTGTGAGCCATGGGTCAAGCCGCCCAACAGGCCCGTTTTTCCGGATGAGAACGCAGCCATTAGACTCCACAGGAGTCCGACGTTTTCCTGCAAATATCTAACAGAAAATGCCAAACAGAATTGAGGGGGAAAAAGATGCTGGAATACTCAAAACGTTCGGCAAAGAAAAGTCCTGTTTGGAGATTCAAAATAGACCTGAAACCACAGGCGGTACCACAAATATGACAAACCACAACTTAATTATTTTCTTGTTATCACTTTACAGTTTCTATATATATAT